TTAAAATAAACCGTGGACAGGAGCTCAGACTGATGGGTTTCCTCTCTTTAACTGCTCTCGGTTGTGTTCAGGAGGAGTTCAGCCACCCTGTTGAGAGCCTCGCCTTAACCGTGGACGAGGTCATCAACGTGCGGCGAGTACTGGTCAAAGCGGAGATGGAAAAGTATCTCCAGAGCAAAGAGCTGTACAATAACCTGAAGCGGGGGAAGGTAACAGTGCAGAACTTCTCTCAGTGCAGTGTTTCTTTGTGCTGTCAACACTAACGGGATTCACTGACTGTGAGTGTGTGTTCTCAGGTTTGCTGCTGCTGCAGAGTGAAGTTCCCCCTCTTCTCGTGGCCGTCTACCTGCTTACTGTGCAAAAGGTATGAAGGAAGTCTTTCATTCTCTTGTTGACGTTTAAACGTTTGTTCCAAGGTTGCAGCTGAAACACGAGTCTCCACAAATCAATACCCGGGCATATTTACAGTCCATGCGGAAAGTATTCACGGCACTTCACTTGTTCCGCATTTTGTCAAATTACAGGCTTATTCCAAAATGCGATTCATTTTTTACCTCAGAAATCTACTCACAATATCTCATAAAGAGAAAGTGAACAAAGTTTGCTGTGATGTATGAAAATAAAAAAACAAAATATAACATGTGCATAAGCATTCAGCCTTTGCGGTACTCAGTTACACGCTTAGCACACGTATATGTGGGCAGTTTCTAACATTCTGCTTTGCAGAGCCTCTCGTGCTCCATCAGGCTGGATGGGGCACGTCGGTGCGCGGTCTTTTTCAGATCTCGCCAACGATGTTCAATTGGCTTCAAGCCTGGGCTCTGACCAGGTCACTCAAGGACATTCACATAGCGGCCTTGAGGCAACTTCTTTGTCTTGGCTGTGTGTTTAGAATGGTTGTCCTGTCAGAACATGAAGCTTTGTCCCAGCCTGAGGTCCAGAGCGCTCTGGAGCTGCTTATCATCTGCTCATTCTTGCATTCATTCTTCTCTACTCTCCCAGTTCCTGCTTCCTGCCATGATGGAGACCACTGACTTTTTTCTGTACCCTTCACATTTATGCTCCCACTAATCACTACTGAATTCAAAGGTTTTCATGCAAGAGATTGGAACCAGGGACCGTGCTGTGACTGTGCTACACCTCCAAATGCTACAATTAGGGATTATTAGAACAAGTAGCATGAGAACAGGTCTTACCGGGGTGGGGGGTTTATAGCCATCAGAGCGGCCTGTTCCCGCTTAAGTAGTAGGAAAGTGTGCAGACATGTGTGCTGTAGGAAAGTGTGCAGACATGTGTGCTGTAGGAAAGTGTGCAGACATGTGTGCTGTAGGAAAGTGTGCAGACATGTGTGCTGTAGTAGTAAAATCTTTTCTTTTTCTCCCAGATCTGTCTGCAGCTCCTGCAGTGCAAAGGTAACTTTCTAACTTTCAAATCTTTTCTCTTGGCTCTGTTTTTATTCAGCTGTGTATGACTTTGTACTCAGCCTTTTTAGCCTCGCTTTTCATGTCATTACTGTTACTGCTGTAGAGTTTTTAATTTTTCTGTTCATACACGTTATGTCATTTGATACCAGGTGTTTTTAATTAAAGTATATAAAGTTCAACTTTTTCACATCTGAACTGTCATTCTTACACACTGTGAATTGTTAAGTTAAAAAATATTTCTACAAAAAAT